TTATTCTGCTAATAATTAATGCACATTTTTGGTCTTCAAAACCCCTCTTCATAAATCAAGATCCTGGACCATTGGTGTTGCTAATTCCTGAGTAAATCTGCTGCTGCAAATCCCCTTTGCAAAAGCAGAGGAGGGGATAAAAAGCACAAAAAAAGAAGGGGGAAAAAAAAAAGGTCCCAGTTCTCCAAATAGTGCAGCTCACGCCCAGGGGCTGTGCAGGAGTGTAAACCCCCCGCGCCCACCCAGACAAAGAGCGGATTGTAAGGGGACCGAGCGCCTGATTGGCCTGCGGCGGTAATTGCCAGCGAGCACACGCGGGCTGAGCCCAGCAGATAGCCGAGGAGATAAGGAGAGATCTGAAGAGGGACAAGGGCTTTTTTTGGATGTCCCCCCTCACCCCACCCCTTTGCTCTCTGCGCTGTTTGATCCCCTCTGCAGGTCCCTCCGTGCACGGGGCTCCCGGTGACAATAGCTCATATTCAGTGTCACCCCCGGGCCCCCTCCCTCGCCGTGCTCGGGCAGAAGATGCTTTTGTTGCCCTGGGCGAGTTTCCTGGCGCGTTGGGTAGCGTCTCCTTGGCCTTTGTGTCCTGGCCGCCTCTCAGCATCCCAAGGGGACAATGGCGAGCATTGTGCCAGGGTCTGGACCCCTGGAGCCCCGGCTTTGAAGATGCCATTGGCAGCGGAAAGCGGTTTCTTTCTTATTTCCAGGTTCAAAGGGATCAGAGGAGGGGAAAAGAGCAGGAGCCCCGGCCGTCTGTCAAGGAGGGAGCCCGCAGGCTCCCTGCCTGCCCTGCCTCTGCATGGGGAAGGGGTTGAAGCGCTCGGCCGCGCGGTGATGTCCTGCTGCAGATAACCCGGGCTATCTGCCATCAACCTCGCAGGCAGGGCCAGGCAGGACCTGCATCACGTGCTCCTTCACTAGGAAAGTCTGACAAGTTCTTGAGATGCCCCTGGCAATGGACACGAATGGAGATGGGACGCTGCAATGGGCCATCGAGGAGCGGCTGACATGGGAACCAACCTTTGGAGATACCAATCAGCCTCCTTGCCCAGGGAAGTTATCGGTGTCTTGGGGTATGCAGCACTTAATGCGATAGCTCAACATGAGCCCTTGGTAGGGGAAGGCTCTGCCTGGCAAAAGGGAGAGAGAAGAGAGCAAAAGGCCCTTGGAGAGGAAGAAAGGAGGAGGGAGACGTGATGGGGATGGGAGGAGAGCAGGCAGTGATGGGACACTTGGTCCCGGAGTTTGGCAGAGGAAGGAACTTGGGTACCTTGTAGCTGTTGAACTGGGCATCAGCCCTTCCCGTCCCGAGCCCCCATCCAAGAGGAGCCGAGGAGCCGGTCGCCGTGTCCAGAGCGCTGAAGTGCCGCAGGGAAAGGGGCTGATTCATTGCCATTGGAGAGACAGAGGTAATAATTGCCCAGCAGTTCTCCTGTAAATACCATTAATAACCCATATCACCTTTTTTAAAGGGCAGACTGATATGCAGAGAGCCCTTTGAAACAGAAACGTTTGACGTAGAATGAGGGCTGCCAGCACAGGCGTGTGGTGGTCCCTGCTAGAGGGAGCGTCTGCTGCTCCCCAGCCAACAGAGCAGCAAAACGCAATTACACTGGGATGCAAAACCACAACAACAGAAGGGACCAGTGATGCACTTCTGGGTCTCCGTGCGAGACCTTTTGCAGGCCAGAAGTCCATCTGGTTGGGTTTCTTGCCCACCCAGCAGGGAGAAAACATGAGGGCAGATCAGTGCAGCGTGAGATGACCAGCGTGAGCACCCTGGGGTTTGACGTGTCCCCATCCTGTGCAGCCCATCTCCCTCTGCGTGGACATAGGTGAGCTCAAAGGAAGGCCTGACGACTCCCTTTCCATCATTCCAAAGTCCTGATGGGTGTGATCCGGGAATTGCTTCCGATGAAAGAATTGAACTCCAAAGAATCCAGCCTTAAACAGCCCCAAGGTTTCTTGGACATTTCTTGTGACAGGAGGTGCAGTCCTGGTCAAACTCCAGTTTCAGCAACTATAAATATTACTCAGATGCTGCTGCTTTCTGCTCCAGCAAAACATGTTGTGTGTTGGGCCTAGGCTGCCCATGCCTGGCCAGCGCACGGGGTGTGTGTGAGTGTCCCGGGAGCACCAGGGATTATGCCAAGAGCTGGGAAGTCCTGGGAGGGGGAAAGGAGGAATGGGGCTCCTCCGACATGGATCCCGTGGAGCGAGCAGATTGCTGAGCTGTTTATTTTCTGCCTGATAACTGCACACCGAGCACCGGAACGTGTAGATTTATTCGTGGATGATTAATATTAGCAGATAGATTGCACTTAATGAGGGTAATAATTCAGTGGTAATTTACTGCTGGGAACGATGGGAAAGCTGCGTTGGAGCAGAGTGTTCTCCCTGCCTCTGTGGTGCTGGGGACGGAGGCTGGTGAATCTGGATGGAGCAGGAAGATCTGGAAGGGCTGTCGCTCCCTGTACATGTCCCTCGGAGCCCAGTACCGGCATTGGGGACATCTGAGGCTCTGGGATTTACTCCTTCTTGAAACCCCTCGTGCACGTGGTCGGAGAGGAGAGCGGAGCCTCCAGGGGCTCAGGAGCGGGTGGGCAGGGAAGGAGGCTCCCAAAGGAAGGCTGGCAGGGTCGGGAGCCCCTGTCCGGAGACACCCCAGGAGCCAGGCCCCTGTGTGCAAAAACAAGCCCCAGAGGCAGCGCAGGGGCTGCCAGGGCACACGTCATCCCCTGGAGCTGGCACAGCCACGGCGCCGCGGTGCCCTGCGGTGCCAGCGTGCCCAGCAATTAGCAAGATGGATGGGTGTGAGTGGCTTTGCTTTGCTGGCTTATCTGGCCAACCGCGATGGCTCTTTCCGTGGTACCGGGTGGCTTCCCCCTAGGAGCAGCCCAGGAGCCAAGGGCAGGTCCCGGTGCTGCTGGTGGCCTGCTGTCGCAGCGGGGTGAGCAGTGTCACCTGCCTGGTCTGTCTGCGGCCACCTGCACAGAGCCGGGCATGAGAGGTGACATTCCCAGGGCTCTTTATCACCATTTCCTTTTTGTCCAGGAATGCACCCCTTGGGCCTGGGCCCAGACTCCGCTTTGTCGCCAGCGGCGTTTCCTCCTACGCCGACTTGGCCGATCCACCTGTGAGCCGCAGCCAGCGCCGCGGCACGAGGTGATGGAGACGAGAGGAAGGGGGACCCCAAAGCGGCTCTGCTGGCGGCTGCCCTGCTGTTCCCCAGGCTTCCCCCTTCCCTGCAGGCCACTCAGGTGGCCTCACCGGCTGGCACCGGGGTCAGAGGCTTCGGACCCGGGGAGGAATGAGGAACGCAATGTCCCAGAGGGAGACAGCAGGATTATTTACAACACCAAAATAAAGGATGGAATGCAGAAAGGCATTGCAAAGCGCGACGCTGCCCCTACTCAGCACCTCGTGGGACATTTTGTGCAGCTTGTTTCGTAGCGTGGACTTAGAGCCGAGGAGAGGCACTGCAGTGTGTGGAATTGCTGTGTGCACTGCTCAGGAATTGCAGTGTCCCATTTGCCTTTACAGTCCCAGCCTTGCAGGGATACCCTCCCCAAAGGCAAGGAAAGGAGCAGGCTCCCGGGGTGACAGGATCCCCAGGACATCTCCCTCCAGCAAGTGCTCCTGGTGCCTGCCCTCGTCTCCAAAGGGAGACCTCCTCCCGGGAAGCCCTGCGGCAGGGCTGCCGTTGAGGATGCGCCACCCGAGTGCATCGCTGAATGGAACATTTTCCATGTCAAATGCTCGCAGGGGAGCCCGTTCTCCTGCTCTCCAGCAGCTCCACGGAGACGCGGGGTTGTTTATCCCAGAGGGAAGCCCCGCAAAGTGCTGAGGCCGGAGAGTCCGCGCTCCTGCTCGTGCTCCTTCCCGCTCTGCCTCCTGCAACCTTGAGCAGGGGCTGTTATCTTATTTGTGACCTGGCTGCAAGATAGCTGCTTCCCTGCGGGAACACCACTGTGCTCAGCAAGGTCTGCCCCAGGCCCAGGGATATTCACAGCGCTCAAGAGAAGCGCTTCCCCGGGCGCGGGCGCGGAGCAGCCCACACCTCGCTGCAAAAATGCGTCGCATTTCTGCAGCAGGTGCCTCCCGCGAGCCCGGAGGCTGCCGGAGTTGGGAAGATCGCCTGGAATCCGGGCTGGGGGCTCCGGGCTCTTCCTCCCTGCCGCTCTCGTTACTTTCCCCCTGAGGGATTTCTTCCCACACTTTGAATTAAGAGGGTCGTCAGAAGCAAGGCTTCTCGCACAAACGGTTGGATTCCAGCATAGGGAGGTTTTTGGATTTAGAAGAGAAAGGAGGAATTTTTCCCCCAAAATGTGTGGGAATGTCTGGGTGGAGAAGTCTGGGAGAAGCTCAGCAGCAGGCAGGTGCTGCCGGGAAGAACTTGAGACGGAGCACGCAGGCTGGATGGGACCGAAAAGCAAAACCTCCCGCCTTTCTGCAGGGCAGAAGTCACCACGTAGGGATGTTGCCGCTGCCTGTTACGTGGCCTTGGGCAACTCATCAAGACCAAAACGCTCAAGCCCAAGTGATGGCAGATAAGCAGCAATCGAGAAGCTCCTGCTGTTGAAGCCTATGAGGTCAAGATTTTCAGGAGAGCTCAGGTGTTTAGACGGAGGCTGGTGGCAAGGGACGCCCCGTCGCGCTGGTTAATGGTGCGGAGAGGCCCGGCCGCAGCTCTTGGCCGGCCGAGCTGGCAGCCCCGCTGGCTTTCCTGAAAAGTTTCACGCGGGATGTTCCTGCGCTGCAGCCCATGGCCTGGCTCCAATGGCCCGGGGCCAGGAGCGGGCTCCAGCGCGAGGCTGCCTCGAAAGAGACGCTCAAAGCAAACAAAGCACCTCGGGCCAGAGGGACGCGGAGGCTCCTTGGCGTCGCAGAGCTCCCGGCCGCAGCGCTGTCCCCAGCGTGGGGACGTGGTCACGGGCAGGGGCTGCTCCGGGAGGCTCTTTGGCCGCAGGGCAAATCCGCAGGCTCCGACTGGCCGCTCACGCCGGGAACCGGTCGTGGCCGAAGCGTCCCAGGGCCTGCGGCTCCCACCCGAGATAAAACGCAGCGAGCGCCACGTTCCAGAGCACGGAGGAGGGCTGAGGGTATAAGAAGCATAGGCTGCAATCAGACGCCAAGAGCCAGACAAACCACATCTCCAAGTCACAGATTTAGGGAGAGCAGCAGGTGCTCATCCTGCAAATACCGACAGCAACCTTCACTTTTGCGCGGGGCTGTGCTGCAGGCCCTTAAATGTGGTTTTCCACACACTAGTTGGCATCTCCAGGCCCCTTTTTTTTTACCATTTTTGCTCGTGGCTTTAGCTAGAGAACGGCGAGCTCAGCACGGAGCATGTGGATGCCTTCACTTACTCCCCGTGGCCATGCGGGGCAGTGACGCAGGGGGACGGGAACGTGGTTGGGTTGAGTTTCTCCATGGCCCCTGTGAGCGACGCCTTGGCCAGCGCAAGCTGGTGCCGCCGGCAGCTTTGGAGCAACCTGAGTCACCCAAGGCAAATATTTTCCCCTTTGATTCTCACCCTGAGAAAACCTGGAGCTGACCTTGCTAATCCCACGCGTTACAAACCTCTCCCCGTCCTTTATCACGTTTCAGCCCCGGGTTGTGTTACCTGCCCAGCACCGCTGGGCTCTCCTGCCAGCATCCTGCCTGGCCCAATGCCACCCTGGAGGCTCCAAGCAACCCCAGTGCTGCCAGGGATCCCTGTGGGATTGAGGAAGAGGAGCCTCCCGGTGCACAAGCTCCATGGGCAGCTACATGGCAGCTCTGGCATCGCTGCACATCTGCGAGGCTGTGGGAAAGAGCCGTGATCCCAGGGCTCCCAGATGAATCCTCAGGAACGATGCCCTGAGAACATCCCAGTGACTCTGGCTCCCTGCAAAAGGCCAGTGATCCCAATAAGGGCAGTGATCCCAATCTTTGGGAGCTGCCCTTGGGAAGCAAAGGGTTAACAACCCCCGTCCTGATATCAAGGCCCAAATCCTCTCCCCAGCCCCGTGCCCGAATAAACGGGCCGAGCACCGCTGCGTACGGAGGGGGCCGGGAACATCCCCGCGTGCCAGGCGGGAGCCGGGCAGGCTCCTCGGGGC